TGTGTGTGTGTGTGTGTGTGTGTGTGTGTGTGTGTGTGTGTGTGTGTGTGTGTGTGTGTGTGTGTGTGTGTGAGTGTGTAGGTTTCCCCTGGGCACAGGACAGATGGACTCGATCTTTCCTCAGTTATCTTTCTGACCCTAGTGTAACTAACCTCCTGAGGTATTAGCAGTGGTGGGCACAGTTCTGCTCATCCACTATTAGCGGAACAAATATTTCGATGAGAATCGTATGATTTGTATCAACTTTATAAACTATGTGACAAACCTAATATTTCTTTTCTTTATCACTAAAAATAATAATAGGCATCACTACATCATCGCCATATGCTTTAATAGTGCCTTTTACATGCAGCAGTGATACTCTTAATAAAGCTGCTGAGCACTGGATTAACAGTCTCAGCCACAAGTCACTCAGTGACATCATTCCCAACCTGAGGAGTAACATGTTTATTCACTCTCCTCTTAACTACAAACCAGATACTTCTGACTCGTGGTTTCAGTTTAAAAAAAAAAAAAAAAACTGAACAATAATTTATCAAGAAAAACTAAAGTGCACACTCAAAACTATTGTAAAAAGTAAAAAAAAAAATAGACATTTTCCCAGCATCATTTTCATCTTGAACGTCATTCAGTCACACAGATGATTTACTGAGTTGGTTTTGAAATTTAAAAAGGTGAAACAAAGACATCTTCGCTTTAGTCTGGGGCACACAAATATTCATTTTTTTTAGTGTTAATATAAGAACTAAAAAGGCAGAAACAATTTCAGGATATATGGTAGTTTATCACAAAACATGGTGGCCATTACCCAGCATGCATGCTTTGTGATGTAGTTTCTCATTCTGTATTTTCTTAATTTTTTACCTCTTAGATATGCTTTTATCTGTGATCTATGAAGGATTTTGAGTTGTGGTGACTTACATTTGTCACATTTAGCTTGATATCTGTGTTAGGTCTCAGGCAGGGGAATAGAGAGAGGACTCTAACTCTAGAGGAAACTGTTCAAATAGATACCTACTTACAATAGCACATCATACTTGCCACCACACATCAGACTAAATGTTAACCTGGTAAGTATCAGTGATTTAGCTGTATTTTCTGATATGTTTTTATCCATTTAGCTTATTGTTAGGGGAAAAAGAAATTGAGGTGTTCCGGATAAACGGCTCTTTGAAGGGATAAGGTTCTTGATGAGCTGTTTGTTTCATAGAGCCATTCATTCGATTTTGAAGTAATTATGACATCACATAGGAATATATTGTCACATTAGGTGGAACCATGTGTTTTGTCAAGCAGAGCCTCCATTCCTTTCCTCTTTTCTTTTTTACAAAAACACACATTACACATATCCCATGCAATTTACAGATGTATCTTAAAGAAATAAGGCTCAACATGTTTAATTTTGGATGTGTAGTAGAATTTACACCGATTAGTGCTCTTGCTGTTTCACTTGCAAAGTTCAAATGCAGCAAGTTGATTTTGATGTTTCGTTTGTGTTGACATTAAACTAATCTGATGCTTAACTTCCATTTTAATTATCATTAATGCAACATATATAAAAGACTTGGTTAATTATAACTGATAACACAAATTCCTGCAATAAACATCTTAATTATATTTTAATTGAGGTGCAGTCCTAATCAAAATACATAAAACAACTTGAATGGATATTTCACCAAAAGAGTTGTTTTTAATGATTTTACTGCAAAAGACAACAGATTATAGACCCTTTTTTTTTTTTTTTACACAAAATGACAATTTTTAGGAGATACAAAGTCATACAGCTTTTGTTGGTGTAAGAAAAAAAATGATACCTTTTCATCTTCATTTTTCAATTTTTCAAATTTTCAATTTTTTTTTTACCAAATTTCCCTCTGGGATCAATAAAGTATTTTTGAATTGAATTTACGTTTTTTGTCACCTGTGTGCATCTATTGGATGTTTTCATTGTAATCATTGCTTATTTCCTACATCAACTGAAAACAACTCTTTATTCAAGGTTAAACCAATCAGAACCTCTGTGTCCAAAAAAACAAAACAAAACACACAATCAATGTATGTTTTAAATCCAGAGATGTCTTAATGCTCACAGACTTACACGACCTTACAAAGCAAAATAGACGTTTGCTCTTAATGTCTACAAATAGGAAGAATTAGCTTTGTGTGTTTTAGACTCTTCACTGCTGCTTTGTTGAAATCTTTAATTTCATGTATCATTGAGCAACCTGTCCAGACGAGCCAGCCTGGCTGCAATGGCTCTGACTGTGTGTTCTCTAATGATCAGCCCTTGCTCTAAAAGGATGTTATGCTTTTCAGGAATCGAGCTGGAAATATATTTTATTGCTCTGAAACAGCTTCCTTTATTTTTTTAATGAAAAATAAAAAAGAAAGCTGATCCGTCAGTGTGGATGTCCGTACATGTCTGCTGGTCTGTTTTTAACAGCATAATTTAGATGAGATGGTGAAAGAACTGGCACATGCCTGCTCTGCATGTGTTAGGTTTGTAGGCCCACTTAAAACATACTCAATTACACACACACAAAGGTTTGTTTTTATGTCCCCGTTGGAACCGTGGATTGACTTCCATTCATTTTAACCTTACACTAACCCTAATTTTATAGCTTAATCTTGACCATTTACCCTAAAATTAACCTTACAGGTACCTACCTGACCCTAAAACTAACCTAACTCAATTCACACATTGGTCCTAACCA